TGCACGTTTTTCAAAGATAAAATTAGAAATAATAAATTTCAAAATATGATATTTTTGATCATTTGGATTGTTTTTACTGATTTTCCGTGAAGAAAACATTTCAGAGTCACTACATTATCAATATTATACTGCCAAAATAATACAATTGTAAATACGATTAAATTCTAAAAATGATAAAAAATTCTACAGCCTATAAACTGATTAGTGGGGCTAATGTTAATGAACATAAAAAATGTACCGCTGTAATGTTTCGTTTAAATGATTAGTCTCAGGGTTCGGAAAAAAAATTCTGAACTTATCAAACATGCTTCTTCGTCATGGGCAGACAACTGTAATGAAAGTATATATATATATATATATATATATAATATCTTTATATAGTCATTTCCTCTGAAAATTGATTCTAAATACGTATAAAAACATTTTTGTTTTTAAAGGAAAGTTGTCTGTTTTGTCAACATATGAATGTATCAAAAACAAGCAGATTTTAAAGCAGTCGTTGATATTGGAACTCTTTAAAATGAAGGTACATAACACAATAATCTACAATGGAGCATGTTGCCTTAAAATATCCTTTGTCTCATAATATCGATGGCCTCTGGGGTTGTTTTAATATCCTATTTTATATGGGTCAATAGCTTGACTTACTGTAAGTTAACTAAAATCAATAATGAATTTCAATACACGAGCCTTGTTATAATGCTAATCTGTTTGCTGACCACAGAGTCTATGTAATATATATGTAAATCTTGACCCAGGTCCGTTCGTCAAGATCAGGTATTGCACGGTATACAACTGTACATGTACTAGAAGAAAGCGTTGATTCATATCCCATTTAAAAGTGAGTGTTAGCTTATTCAGATCCGTAGCAACTTTAATATCACAAAATAAAATCAACGCGGTTTGGTTTGGTTTGGTCTGTTTTCAACGTCCTCTTAAAATTTATGGTAATTTAAAGAAGGTTGCTCAATATATGCGAGATGAGGGGTGTGTTTGATGGATGTTGCGAAATGTAAGACTCATTATGACAGTGTGGAAGTGAAGACAACTTTATAGTGTTATCACACTGAAATATACCGCCGGTTGAGGCCTCAAGTGGGCACCCCACTCAGTGGCAACGTGTAAACCAGTCGTTACACTACCACAATACTGAGCTTCAAGCTCTCGACCAGGGAATAGAACCCAAAGCCTTCCTCACGGGAGCGAGCGCTCAACTAAAGGACAAAAGTGAGGCAGTGAGACGAGATTAAGCTCTTCAGATGAGAGACGTTAAAATACGCAATGCTACTATCACATTGTTATCTTTCTGTAATTGTAGGAGTCAATAGTGCATTTCCTTTTCTTTCGGTGTCTCCCCATTCTTTTTGTCCTGTTGTGTTGACTCGGTGTTGTAAATTATCCCTTTTTGTGGTTTAAAAATCAAACGGAAATTTTGCAGTTTACCTGGATACACAGTCGGGACCAATGCATATCCCTTAATGTTCTCTACAAATTCATGATATTCAAGTGCAGTTCAATTATCTGTAATTTGATGTGTGAACTCCACAAGTCTATTGAAAAATACGACGTTTGATATGGAATTTCGACTGCAAAGCAGTTGTACACTTATCTCGTAAAATTTACATAAATACCGGGGTTTGATTATAGATATCGTTTGATAATTGGTTTAAAAGAGATTTATATCAAAAAAGTTCAAACGGAATCTTAAATATTTATCTGGAATTTAAGGTAATTTATACAAATTTTATCCTATTATAGAAAATAAACTACATCTGTGCTTCAACGTTAAGGAAAGTTGATAAAATTGTGATTAAGATTATATTAGGGGCATATATTATTGATGGTTTGGGAGTTAAACCAATCACACTCTATGTTTAGTATGTTATAACCATAAATTATATCTTTTATGTAAAATCGCTCATGGACATAGGCGCATATTCCAACATGAACAAATGTAATGAAATAAAATACTTTGGTCGTTAATAACATAGCTAACCGATATAATTTATTTCTCAGCTCGTGCTCATTGTTGACCGTATAAATTTACATAAGTAAATTTATACCAACATGTTTACATAAGTAAATTTATACCCAAACCTTAAATTTTTTCACTAGTTAAATATGTCCAATTTAAAATTATATATATTTTTTAAACGAGTTAGCTAAAGAGGAAAAACAGCATCAGCCAGATTTAAATTCTTATCTTTGAATTAGACTCTTGAGTTTAATAGCTATTTCAGGAATATGGATGCTTGTCGAGAGGACTATACACACTTATTTCCACATCTACACATTACGATTAATTTCCTTTTCGTTACACGTTGGGCGAAGAAATGGTAAATGTGTGACTTGTGTAAGTCTAATCGGCCACGTAACTTGACTGAAGTCCATTGTCTTTAACCTTATGACGGCAGAACTTCACCTATGAACGACTCCAGTGATGTGTTTTTTCAATACGGAAGAGCCCGATAAAGTAATTATGTATACACAAAAGCATTCCACTAAGTCAGAAAAAACGAGATACACATGTAGACAGTATACAAGTGAATACATACATCGTACAAGATGCTGTGTAAATACATATTATTAGTTCTAACAGATCTTCAGCATTAGATCAACTTCTGTCTCGACATGGAGAAAATACCTGGGCTTCTGGCCCATTGGTGATGTAACATGTCGTCAGTAGACGTCTACACCCTCCCCCTCTCCCTTCCCCCTCCCCACACACACACCCGACATTTCTGCTCTTTAAGTATCCCGTCGTATGTGCATAATATGTTAAGGCTTTGTTGACAAGAAGTCTCTACATTCTACTATTTTCTGTCTCGACAACTTGTTGGCACAATATAACGATTGGTGAGTGTAGTGTTACAAGTGCTTGACACAGAAACTGATGTTTCCGTCAATATTTGTTTCCTAACACTATCTATAAACGAACGAAAAAGTCTCGTCCCGGCCTCAACACTTTAGTCTTTATATTTTAATACTTTTCTTTAATGTTTCTGTGAACAAAATTTATTTGAAGTAGAACATCGATGTTAGGATTTCACTTCAGGATCAAAGTTTAATTATAAAAGTATTCGTCTCAAGTACACGAGCGGTTAAAGTACAAAATGTACAAACAAGTTTACATTGACGACAAAAATACATTAGCGACAATGTGATTTGAAATTAAAAAACCCTAGTGCTTAGTTTTTCGCCTGAAATGGACAATAACTGACACATACTGTGTTTTGAAATTGACACATAATTAGAGACTGACAGGAACCCGTGTAATTGACATTTTTTGGTACGTGTATGAGTGAAAAACAAACTTGGTGACCATAAGATATTGTAGTATCTTTATTATTATGCCAGTTGACATGTCCTGATGTTGAAATGACAAAAAGTTAAAAAAACATGAAAGGGATATCAGTATATTGCAAAAGTATAATTTCGTTGTTTTTTTTTTATATATATTATTTACCAATGAACACAGTCGTCTCAAGTTGTGTTGAAAGTGTTTATTGTGTAACGGTTGTGATTGTAAAGCACCGAACTTATTTCTCGTAAACCGAAACGAAAACAAAGAAATTTCCTCGACAAAATCCTTGAAAAACCCGTGCCTGTTACCAGAAACAAGGTTAGGCTGAGACTGAAGGCTGTAGTATATTCATCTAAAATGGATTACTGTGAGCACGGATTGGTCACGTAATGGCAAATATCACGCACGTGCATTGATTACGAGCACGAGATTAGATGGATTAAACACAGCATCTGTCGGTACAGATATATTCGATCAGGAGTTTAACGTCCCTTGGGCGCACAAAACATCGTTTTCACCTCTGTTTGTTTTTGTTTGTTTGTGTTTTTTTTTGCAGAAACAAAAGTTGAGTGCAAGCTTCCTCAATTTTAAAACATTTAAATACAGTAAATATATCTATGAAATTATAAACGAATGAATAGATAATAATTGAAGTTAATTTTAAAGTTCCAGATATTAATAATAACGTCAGTTATTAGGTAAAATACGTTTATATCGTGTATCGAAAATATTTTAGCTTGAATCGCCTTTTCTCGTCAGCCGGCAGGAGTACTTCAAAGGGCTCAAATTTCACCATATTTGTCCCAAGAGGACCTGGACTATTGTTTCAAATGCGATTAAATTATTCAATATTGAAAATTTTCAGGCAATGAAGGATCTGCCTGATTAGGTGGGGCTCTGAATAGCGAATCGTCGGTGTTAAATTTTTAAAATAAGATTTATAATCTAGTAAGTGATTCATCTAAAGCGTGCACGGCGTTGACCTTTGACAATGACTTGCTCTTTAATATATACTTTCAAATGATCATTTGATATCAAATATATTTATTTTCTTTTATTGAAACACAATAAACATCCCAAGAATGTTAATTTCAAATATAAGAACATGTAGTGTCAACACTGGGCGTACATGTAAACACAAGAGTTGTGGTTATAACCCCTAGGCCTCTACAAATAATATCTCGGTATTGTAAACATCGGAATGTCCCACACAATCTTGACACTTCTCCCGTGAAGTATCTTATTTGTTTAGAATTATTGTAAATACAATTTAAGAATCTTAGCTAAATTATGACAAATTTAAAGCACATTCATAGAAAAAAATTCCGAGCACTTTAAACCCGGAAACTAATGCTCGAATCATGTGCATTATCGTTTGATGTAAAGATAGTTTATACAAGCTTGTTGACAAACTTTGCCGGATATTTGGCCTCCATTTTCGGTCGTTTACACAGTGATGATTGTGTATTTTTGTTTTTTAATGGCTTACCGTCCTATAAACAGCTATGGACGGTTTCAGGTCTCGGAATGGTTATGGTGACACATGTCATTATTTTTTCTCACCTTTTTCTAGTCTAAAAAAAATCATTTCTGTTTTCTTTAGTAATTGTAACTGAAAACTAAATATTCCAAAGTTGATTCGACGATAAAAGATGGACAAATCAAAATAGATAAATAAATATGTGGAATAGCTTACCGTTTATCACAGTCGCAATGTAGAATGGCGTGAAAACGGTAGTTGAAATAGTTGTATTTCGTGGAGAAACACGGGATGATATCTTGACAACAATCATGATCTCGACAACAAACGTCGGCTTCTTGGTCATCTCCAAGTTCGTCATATTCCTTGGCAATTTGACCACGTCCACACCATTTGGTGCCCGGAAACATCAAATACTTGTTAAAGAAAGATCGTTTCCGCCTCTCGTGATAATCCGGAAGTGCTTGTACCTCATCGCGAGTGAAATATGTCGACGATTTCACAGATCTTGTTGTTCTCCCCAAATTAAACTTTGGACCATTTCCGGTTGAAGATTTGTTTGCAAACTTTTGTGGTACTTCCGGTATAACATTATAGTCTATGTACGTCACGCTTGGTGTATTGGCACCGCGCGAAGAAGACAGGGTACCATCCATGTCGATATTATCGGTTGTATCGAAATACGCTTTCCGGAAGTCAATTCCATTCGGATTATTGCGATTTCGTCGCCTTTGAATTCGCTTCACTTGTCGCACATATTTGTGACATTTTCTTATTTCCGTATTTATTTTCACCATATCTTTGAATTCACCTAATTTCTGGCGACTTCTGAAACCCTTTATAGCATATTGAGTATTTTCATTTTCAACAGTGTTGTAAAATCTAAATACATTTCCGTAATTTCTTTGTTGGAAAAGATGTTTTTTAAGCGTAAACTCATGAACGAATTCCAGAACCATTTTGACATTGTCCCCGAAATCGCAATCCTTGAGAACTCCATCTTGATACACACTCTGTATGATTTCTTTTCCATCACTCACGCGTTTGAAATGAAGTTGGTTTGGAGTGTTTTCAAAAGCAACGGTCTCCAGCACCAATACTCCTTTGTAGGCGATACGTAGCTCTTTTTCATGATTATCATTGTAACTGACCAAAATGAAATTTCTGCCTAGTGCTTTTGTGTCCTGAACAATCTCCTCGTCGGTGACATCGCGAGAAAAACCGCCACAGACCACCGCAAAGAAAAAGAACACTGTAAATCCGTTTAGAGAAGGCATAGTTCCTACATTTCACGACAAGGAACAGAAAACATACAATAACTTGTCCCCAAACCAATCGGCTTCACTGAAATATTTATGGAGAATTGTTAAAAGCCCGGTGCTGTGTTTCATACAGTCACACCTTCAAACACAAATTACAACTTTATATAACTGAGCTGTGAGTAATTGGTGTTCTGTAAGTGGGACGGCGTGCTCCGTTCTGAGCCCGGCGGAGGCGCGCGGTCGACTGCCGATACACACAACACACAGCCCTGTGAAATAGTACCGGCGTACGTACAACTGAAGATACGGCTTAGTTCACACGGCCGTTGTCGCTTAGCGGATAGAATAGCTGATCATTAAAAATGCCACCTTGTGGTCAGTGTATATGTGATGTATGCTCTCTGGAAATGGTCAGGAGCAAAAATCACAAGATGGTCGGTTCATCGGTGATGTACTGAAGGAATGGTCAGTATAAAACCTTACCGAAAATCCGGGTTAGGTATTGTCGATGATTTTATGTACATCTTTATTCGACCTGTGTTATATTCATGGTGAGCTGGTCAGCTTGAGATGTATCAAATGGTCATTTGTAAAAGTAATAAAGTTTATGTGGTTTATCGACAAAGTTCCATAAATTTCCCCTCATTTTTTCCACCGTAATTTGTAGTTGAAGTATTACTGTACCGGGTAAAATATGTAAATTGTATTATTAATCACTGACTTTAGTATGCAACTTAGTTAAATAGCAAATCTTAAAAAGTTGGTCAGATGGAAATGTTTTCTATAGTGATGGCCATTTTTCGATGTATTGCACACTGACCAGCTCTGACCAATCATTTGGTCAATTCGACGAAAAACATATTCCAAATGGACTGGTCAACGGGGAAAAGATATAGGGACCCCTATCAGTTTTATGAGTAGCGCGGTTGATTGAAGTTCACCTTCAAAAGATTGTACAAAAGACAAGTCTATGTGAAAATCATTTGTATATGCATATTTAGTATCACACATGTTATTTCCTGAATAAGGAGAAGTTCATTCCCGCCCATCGCGAGTCATAATACTCTAATGAGTTGGCGAATAGGTCAATTGAAAAAGACATTGTCATAAAAGCGGGTGTATGTATTGAAATATATGATTAATGCGTAAATGTAAAATAGCGGCGTCTGGTCATTTTCAAATGTGGCATATTCTAAAGAGGCCAGTTAACATATTAAACTTGCCTCATACCACTAGCTGGTGGTCTACACAGTCTTTATCTACATTTAAAATTATTTACAATATTTTCTCACACCTGGGACTATAAATAAAAAAAATTAAAATCAAACTTTTAAGGACGTCGCTTAAGGGCAAAAAAATGTCAGTAAACGTGAAGAGCTGCATTAAAACGTCACCTCTTTGAAATAGCGTATTCGTAAAATCATAATATTACCACCTAGATTCAAGGCTCCCCTATTGTATAAGCTTTTAGGGAATTTGAACCGTCACCTGTAGATATCAAAGGGGCAGCTCCGCGACCCGAAGGAGTTTATCGCCCCGAAAAATTCTACAGTCCGACGGCTAAAACAGACGCTAGAGATTAGAAAAAAGTGTGTTTATTCAACATGGCGAAAGAGACACTGTATTGAAACAGAATGTTCGTATATTTATCCAATGAAATTTGAATTAAATGCGCTTTTCTCCCCATCTTACCCCTATCCTTAATATCGACTGTCTGTCGTTACAGCTCAGTAATGACGGTATACAAATTAAGATAACAGTATGGTTTGTCATCAAGATTCTTCCACATCTCCGAACAAAGCACACATTATTCAGGAAAAAAAGTTACAGGTAAAATTATTTATAGTATCTCTGGTGTCCCTTGTATTTGGTTATTGTAGAAGCGGGTTTTATGGTATTCTGTTCTAATGACCCCGTGTTAACATACATTCCGACAAGAAATACGTTAGGGTGCACAGCGATATTAAGTGTTTTTGTGCCTGTCGAACGCATCACCTTGGCAGGTTGCTGCTGAATCTAGCGCGGTGACGCGATACTTATCACTATAATTAGAAACAACAATAGATCTATTGTTTGCATCTATCGCGTGCAAAATCTAGCGATGTAACGTTAGTTTATATGTACATGTACCTCCCGATACTGGTTACGACACGATTGGTAAAGAATCCATCAAATGAATTCGCGATACCGGTCACTTATATTGCGATTTTTATGAAAATGCAGTGTTTGCGAGGCACGATCTTGAATTGAACACGGTATCCACGCGAAAGTTTTCGCGACATTGCGATTTTGACTCTCTGTCTAATACACATCAGAACAATCTGGATTGCTTTTTCGTGTATATCGTAAATTTCGCGTTATATCAATTGTAATGCTTTATGCAGAAATGTATTTCAAGGACAAAGCATATTCCCTCGGTATAAATAGAAGCTGGCCAAAACATGACGATCGGCTGTCATACATAGCACTGATCTCGATGGAAAGAAAAAATATCAACACACACATTCAATCTGTCATATACATGTATATAGCTCTGTTGAATATCATAACAGCGGTTGGATAGAATAGGGCCAGACTCAGCTTCAAATAACATACGATTAGAGAATTTCATTTTCTCGGTATTCGCGGTTATTACAGATGGAACGAAAATAGGTTTAAGGCAAATAAATTTAAATCCAGTTGAAAATTTAAAGAATGTATATTATAGAGATCTGTACACATATATACCAGTGTTGTGTTGCGCGAAATTTAACCTCCATGAACTAGCTGACAAAGTCAATATACTGTACTTATGTGCTGAATATTGAAGTTTGACAAAGTAAAGACTTGTTGTAGTGGATTTTCTCAGCAATAAAGAAGTGTCTAAAGATGATCATACGGATTTCGGTACAATATTGGTCATTCAGAGGCTTTAATCGTACAGCAATGCCGTCGTGAGCATGAGAAACTGATTTGTTGTCTGTGAGATTCTTTATTATGTACTACCGAGACACTTGTCTTTTATCAATCACTGTTTTGTACTAACCGGAGGTAGTATATTATATTTACCGGATGCACTGTGTTGTAACATCTCTTTCATTAACCGAAGATAGGAATAGATACCATTAGATTAACCGGAAACGGTTATGTTATAATAACCGGAGACCACTTTTTTTGTATTAACGGGAACTAGCAATGTTTTATAAACCGGAATTATGTTTCGGGTATTAAAAGGTGATATTAATCGTTTTGTCGCTATATTATCAAGACTGTTATATTATCTTAACAGAGACTGCTGTCTTTTATAACTGAAACTAGCTAATGTTTTATTAACCGGAATGTTAAACGTTAAATTATCAAGATCGTTATGTTGTTTTAACCGGAGACCGCTGTCTTGTATCAACCGGAACTAGCTATGTTTGATAAACCGGAATTTTTAATGTTATATTATCGTGGTCGTTATGTTGTATTAACCGGAGACCGCTGTCTTGTATCAACCGGAATTAGCTAGGATTTATAAACCGTAATGTTTAACGTCATATTATCGAGATCACTATATAATATCAACGATACAATATTTATTAACGAGACTCCTTTCTCACGTTGACTTGATAGAAAATCTGACGATCGCGACTTGTATTGGTTTCCATAGTTATCCTCAATATACATGTACTTAATATTTGCACGTGGTTATATTTAGTACCGGCATGTCGGTGATAGCTATTACACCTTGTTTATAGTTCGTTCAGTAATCCTAATAGTCCATTAAACAATATCACACAGACGTTTATAAATAGAGATAAAGTACTCAATTTATATAAGAAGCACACATATATTTATGTATAAAGCTTATTTACCTTACATTGTCGTAACGTGTGTATAGCTTAAAAAGATTACAGGTATGACAAATCGTACAGGTGTGTGGGGTGACTAATTGAGTATAAGCTCTGACCCAGACCTGTACAGATGTCTGTAATACATGTCTTACTTCTGTATCGGCTCACCCGTAAATGGTAGTTTTTTTTAAAAGTTTAAATTCCGGTGATATCTCCTGTATCAGTAACATTTTACCTTCTGGCGGTGTCCGACGTATGGTATTGTATATGTTCATAACCCAGCTCTCTTTAGTTTGAATGTAAAATAGCTGTATAATCTCACATAAAACGCTCGTTTGTACTCTTCTGATCAAATGGCAGAAGTTTTAAAGAAAAAGATTGAAAAACATCATGCACAAATTGACTTGTATACGATTATTTAAAAATATAAAATGATTTTTTTTCTCAGCTGTCTTCAAGGTACAATTAGTCTTGCACATTCTTTGTGTCAAAGTAAAATAACAATTTAGTGTAAGGAGGTATCCAGGTAAGTCAATGCTTCAGAGGTAAGAAATTACCAATTTACGGATAAAATTCTCCAACATGGCAACACCAATATAGATACTATATCTCTGCTTCAAAAAGTAGAAATGACCCAGCAGGTTTTGAGAGGTATATCTTGGCGGAGCCTACCGCATATTAAGACATTTTTTTGGTTACAATTTTGCAGGATCCAGATGAAAATACGGTTTGTTAAAAGGAAAAGTCGGTTGAAAGAAAACAAATGGGATTTATATGTATCTAACTGATGAAGGCAGTCGAGGTTATGGTTGTACGTGTTCAACACTCCTCCACCTCTACCCCTACCCTTCCCTTCACACTCACCAAGTCAATATTTTCCTATTATTTCCTGAGACTTTGACTTCTAATTCCTCTTTCTCGTATTAGACCTTTATGACGTAAAAGTTGTTCAGGACGAATCAGGTGTACGTAAAAACTCCGCTGTAAAACACCCCCGATTACCCGTCTCATTTATAGTTATCATACGCCATATCACTGCAAATCCCCTTAACCACAACTAAGACAGGTTACTTCGTGATATTATCGCCTTTATTGAAACTGCGACCGCGAATTATGCACCAATATAACAAACGCTTATAGGTATAAGACTCAAGGATGTTATTTATTTCCGTTTTAAACGTGTCACCGGCTTTCGTTTCAGTGTTTAGACTAATAAATCATTCTCTGTAGTTTCGTATTTGACAGAGAGTACTCGTGCTTATGACGAATCGTTCTCATTCGTCATTTTCTGATGAATAATTATATTTTAGAGTACTGAGTAAATCTCTTATACACCTGGTAGTAATTTACAGGTAAAAATACAAGTAAACAAAGAGACAGTTATGTTAATTTAAAGTTATAAATCC